TTATCAATTCCAATAATGACATAATTTTAAACTGATCTTCAGATATCAAGTGATGCAAATTCGAAATAAGAAATGAATGAGTTTGAAGCAATAATCCTCATCAGTACTTTCAAATCATCATTACAAGCAAGTTTTCAAGTGCTTCGATAAATAAGGCGCGTAAGGATCATGCCGAATGATTCTCGACGCTTAAGACAGAATTTCAGAGAGAAGTCTACACAAATTTCGGTTGATTGCATTTGCGTTTAGGTAAAACTGCTGACATCAATAACGGTTCATGTATTATTGGCACACCAATTTGTATTTGTCCAAGAAAGATGACGATCCAGAATCACTATCGACGCTCAATACCTCGTCAGAGTTTTCGGCGATGTTGAGCCAATCACAGCGATTTTTGAATCGATTAAACCAGCCGTTGCTAGCAAGAAATGTTTCATCTTTGGCCGTTTCGCCGGCTTCCTCTTTCAGTCTCTCGAAAATCCACTTGGCTTGGCGACATACAGTGCTCTGGTCAATACAGTGATTGTTCATTCGTATCTGACTGCGATACCACGATTTAAGCATACGCTCCATCTTATTGAATATCTCGTGACGAATGACACTCGAATTCAGACATTGATCGCTTTCGACGGCTGCTCTTATTCGTTCTCGATCTTTTATCACCGTTCTGACCGTCGATTCAGCCAGATCCATCTTCCTTCCTATTTCACAAATTTTCATGCCGCCATCGAATTCGTTTATGATGTCGATTTTACACTCCAAACTGAGCGTTTTCCTCTTCTTATTGCCAAACACCGAATATTCCGATTCAGACATTCGTTTCGATGACATTGATGTGGAAGTGTACGTGCGAAAGCTGTCAATAGAGTGGTGTGATAAATCAGTTGGACAACGGATCAATCAGAGGAAAGAACGTAGTTGAACGAGGCAGTGGATCGTACAGGTAGTGGTTGTCGTTTGAACGCAACAATCATGATAAGTGTGCAGTGGGTGGGTGCTTGTATCGAACAGAACAAAGTGAATGAAGGTCGGAGTGAGCGAGCGAGCGTATGACAACAAGTATAATCGCGTATCTCGGGGTAATGTTCGTAATGCTTGAGAGGCGAGGAGAGGCGAGGAGAGTAGAGCAGAGCACGGCACACAGACAGACAAATGCAAGCGTTGCTCAATGGCGTTACGCCGAGTTCGCGTAAGTCGGTGAGACTATTCTCGCGAACGAAACACTGAATAATCGATCAATAACAAATATTCATTCACAGAACAAAAAAAAAAACCAACATCGTCAACAGCATTCTTTTGCTGTCCAGCGAGTGCGGCACGAACAGCGGCTAAACAGCCATTGGTTGACGATGAATTGAGTTTGGATGATGATGTATTCAAGAAGAGATCAGTGGTTGATGAAGTAGTTGTGGTGTTTGGTGAATACGATGTGGGACGGTTTCGTTTCACATACGGCTGTGTCGGAGTCTGCAAGTTGTCATTCATTACGACTGAAATGCATTCGCACATAATGAAAATGTTTGGAAGACTAATTTTTATTCGCAACTTTTAAGGAAAAATTCGAATTCACCAGTTTTTTTTTCATTGATGAAAACGCCAGCAAAAATTAATTTCGAGAAGTGCAATTAATCTCACTAAATCTGCACACTTCCTGGTGTGTTCACAACAAGGAAGTCAACGAAGGGTCATCATTCAAAAAATAATAACCATGATATTGATCATTCAGTGAGACTGATGAAAGGACATTTATCTATTTGAATAACAGAAATTAATAACGCAACAAAAAATATGAAACTTAATAGCGAATATGGATCCTTTACGAAATGCAAGCCAAAGAAAACAATGTACAAAACATGATATGAACGACACGTTGAAAAGAAAGAAGAAGACATGCGCATACACACACCTCATTATTATAATAAATCTCATTAAGCCGTTTGTGAACTGCGATATTTGAGATATCGCTCGCCTCCAAATCCGATAAATCTGCGGCAGTATTCAACGAAGACGACGATTCGTTTGTACGTAACAAAGTGAACTGATTATTCTCATCGTTCGACGGTGAACAAGTCGACGATATTCCCAGTTGTTCCTCCAGCCAACTCTGTGCGGTTTGTGTGGGTGCAGCACCCAATGCCGCATCCGTGTAAATGCTGTTGCTATCGTCAACATTCGTCACCACCGCTTCATTGACCACCAAACTACGACCGGACTGTGCTTGCTGTTGTAGTGCTGTCCAGTCACGTCCCTTGAAGTGAATCGCTCGCAAATGACCCCACATCGTCTTCGTTGAACTATCTTTGCGTTTCAGTATCTTCGCACAATGCACGCATTGTACGTTCCCATCGGACAACTTCAGAAAATGATCCCATACGGTCGACTGTTTAAATGGACGTCTCTGACGCCGTACCTCACCGCCACCGCTGCTGTTATTTGTAGCACCGTTAGTCTTACTACTACTGGTACTAGCAGTGGTTTGCTTCTGATTACCCTTAGCAGCACTCGCTGTCATCATACCATTATTTGATGAATGTATCAACTTGGCTAGTGCATCTTGCGCTGAGGTTGCTTTTGATTTGTTGTTTGCGGATGCATTCTTTGAATCAGCATTGCTTATCACTGCATTCGTTAGCAGAAGATTTTGGGCTGAACTCGTAGCGATGCCGGCCAGTTTATTTAGTAGCGCAGAATTTGTATTACTATCACTATTGCTTTTTGCAGTGACACCTCTTCGCATTAAACAATCATCAAGTTTCGATGATGATGCCAACAGCGTGGAAGATTGTTTATTCAGGATACGGTTGTCGAAGGCAGTGGCAAGAGAATTCGATGTTGAGTGATTCGTTGCATTATTAGAAGTATTCGTAGAAATCGGACTAGAATTGGATATGAGTCTTTTGAGATGACTAGCAAGCGATGTGGAGTTGCGCAGAGTTGAATGCTGCTGCTTTTGGGGAGCGTTTTGTGTGGTTGACGGTGATGCGATGATGATTGCATCTGAGGACGAGGACGCATCATCCATATCGTCTTTGCTTAGAGCACCGAGCACAGGTGTTGACACACTCTGTGCTAGACGTGCTCCTGCTTGGGATGATGGAACAGGACTTGAGGTATTACTTGCGCACGATAAAGCTTCTTCTGGAGTTGGGGGTGATGATGCACTCATGTTTCCATCAGTTGCACACACCAAAAAGCTGAAACTTTTCCTGACATTTATCAAAAACGCTCGTGTCGTAACGCGCAAATAAACTATATG